GACAATGATAAGTGGACATTGCAGAGATGGAAAATTGAACTGGGGAGAAATGCTGCTTCACAGAATGAAGGAACAAGGATTAGTCCCAAACACCAACACATACTCAACACTTATTGATGGACATTGCAAAGAAGTTAATTTCGATAGAGACTGATAAATATGATGAGCAATGAAGGTTTTATCCACAACATATGTACATATAATGCCATCGTTGATAGCCTTTACAAGAAGGGAAGAGTACAAGAGGCTTACAAATTGCTCAAAAATAGTTTGCATCACAGATTAAAAGCTGATAAAGTCTATACTATTCTCATAAGTCAACATTACAAATAGGCAGATATTAATCAGGCTTTGGTGTTGTTCAATAAGATGGTGAAGACTGGCATTCAAGCTGATATTTATTCATACACCACTTTAATTTCTTCCTTCTATAGGCAAAAGAGAATGAGAGAAAATAAGATGTTTTTTATTGAAGCTGTGAGAAGTGGACTAGTTCCATCAAAGGAAACCTATACGTCAATGATATGTGGGTATTGTCGGGAAAGAAATTTAAGCTTGGCTATGAAGTATTTTCATACGATGAGTAACCATGGTTATGCTTCAGATAGTATCACTTATAGTTCTCTTATAAGTGGTCTTTGTAAAGAGTCAAAGTTAGACAAAGCTTGTGTGTTGTATGTGACACTATGATAGAAAAGGGGCTTATCCCATGTGAAGTTACTCGAGTTACTTTGGCTTATGAGTATTGCAAGATAGATGACTGTGGTTTTGTTGTGGTGGTCCTAGAAAGGTTGGAAGGAAAACTCTAGATTCAAATTGCTAATACATTAATTAGGAAACTAAGTAATGAGAGAAAAGTAGCTATGTTCTTTCACAGGTTACTAGACATGGATCACTATGTCAATAGAGTAACATTAGCAGCCTTTATGACAGCATGCTATGAAAACAATAAGTATTCTCTTGTTTCTGATTTGGCTGCAAGATTATAGAGGGAAAAATCACTCCACAATCCAAGTCAATGAGAAAATGTGAAATATAAATTCTTTATCTTATCATGCATATATTGTTCCATTTTATTGTTAAATTTCTTGTTGGAATCATAATTCCACTGGATCAAGATTTTGTGGCTGCTTGTGTTGATTTATGTATCAGAATATCCTGCCATTTGATCAACACCTGATCCATGAAGAACAACAGTGGCATGCAACTCCGCCCTTTAAATTATGAGAATTCCTTAGATCGAAAATATCAGATTAAATTCTAGGAATTTTTTTCTTTTTCTTTGATTTATGCTTCCTTTGTACTTTCTCCTTTAGCTTTATCCACTTCTTTATTTATTCTTCAATTGGATAGCAAATACTCTATCAAAGAATAAGATTGTCCACGATTTTGAATTTTTGATATTTCACTACTTCGTTAGGCACCAATCTATGCAGCTTATGTTATATATGAATGTAAGTATCCTTGTCTCTAATTGAAATAAAGCTGTTTAGAATTGTAATTTAAGTTTTTGTTCTTCCTTTTTCCTTGGGTAAAGGCCTAGTAATATATATTTAGATGTTACACCTGCTTGAGACATTTTCCTATGAGATTGTGGAAAGTCATGTTGCCTCTGAAGTCATTATTTTGTGTGTGCCTATATGTGTATACATATACCTCGGTCACTCTGAATTGTTCGTGGCTCCAGCTTGTTTAGGGTAATTGCTTGTCCCATCAAGCTTTCTTGACCGTATTTTTTAGCTTATTTTACTTGAAAAGAATTGCCCTTCAAGCCAAAAATTGTCACTATAAGATGTTCATGTGTATATTGTATGCTGGGTACTTCTGAAGGAATACTTTGCTTAGTAGGACTACTTACCCAGTTATTACTATCTTCCTTTTTTTTTATCTGCCCATATTGTTTGACAAATACGGGCAAGTCTCTATTGATTTTTTTTATGAATAGGAAAAGTTATATCTAAGGGTTTTGTACTCAGTTGGAGACATGTATCTTGTAATGGATGTATATTGATGCTGAGTTTGTTGAAGACTAGTGTCAACAAGCAGTAGATTGTGAGTTGGTTTCAATGTGAAATGTTAGATTTCACTTGATGGATTGATCATATGTCAGTCTATTTTTTTTAATAGACGGGATTAACCTGTGCAGACAGACAATCTAAGTCTTATTAGCGTGCAAAATATTCATACAACCAGAGGGCAGATTATCAACAATCTGAACATTTAAATTATCAGTAGATGCTAAATAAGCCATCCAATTAGTGCATTTATTAGCTTATTTGAAAACGTGGTCAAAGGTGATCGTCCAATCCCTCATAGTAAGTTCTCTGATGTTGTTGATAACAGCAGTAAGAGGATGGTTAGCGAAGAACTCTTTGCATATAAGTGTGAGCACCTCTGTAGAGTTTGTATAGATATTGACTTTGCTAAACTTTATTACCCGACAAATGTTGAGACCTTCTAAGATGCTCATAAGTTCAGTTGCCATACTTGGTTGATAACCGATGTATTTGGTAAAGCCTTTAATCCAGTTTCCTTGATCATTTTGGATGAGACCTCCACAAGAAGTAGCACCTTGATTGTTAATAGAGTCATCTGTAACAAGTCTAACCCAACCTTTTTCAAGAGAACACCATTTTGCTTTAGATCTATCACTTTGCTGGGTCAAGAACTTGATTCTAGATTAAGGTATTGGTCATTGTGAATGTCCTAGATATTAGTGAATGCAATGTCTCTGCCAGGCGTGATTTCCTTAGAGTAGATGCATTTGCATCTTTCTTTCTAGATGTTCCAACACACATATGTCAGTCTGTTTTAAAGCTGTTCTACAACAGAAAAATTTTACAAATTTAAACAAAATTACTGTACATGTCCAAACCACTTTAACTCTCTTCATATGCCTCTATTAACTTTTACTGTACATGTGTCCAAACCACTTGAAACAAATTTCTACCATCATATGGTTATTTTGAATTTTTTTTTGGGTGATTTTGGAAGAGCCAAAGATGTTAGGAGATCTATTAAATTCTCTCATTTTATTAGATTGATAAAAATAATACAAATAGCTTTAATATCATGTCTTAATCTTGGTTGAAAAAAATTAGCATAAATATGCTTTATTAGTGGGGCCCAAAAAATGCTTTCTGAGTATTCATTTATCCATTCTCAACAATGCTTTGTTTACATCAGCAAAGCAAAATCAGAAGTATTTTATTCTTTTTGGGGTTGAATTGATTTTGGTGCTTCATCTTCTAATTTCTATTACTTTCATAAACAAAGTAAATACAATGACTTGACTTCAGAAAAGGTATAGCTCTCCCTTTTTACCGTGTCATCATATGATTGTGGAAACAGCTCATCTACTTTATATATTAAGAAAAATAAGAAGAAGAAAAAGAAGTAATACTAATAAATTATACTTTAAATGTACAATCTCGTTCCCGATATATATACGAATAAATCCAGGCCATGTGCTTAAAAAACTCTAGAAGACATAAGAGGTAAGGATACAGGTCAAATATTACCAAATAAAAAGTTTCAATTATTTCTTTAGCAATTTCAATTACAAAAAAACTGTTCTTTATGAAAAAACTACTTTCTGGCAAAAAAAAAATGAAAAAACTACTTATTATCATTAACATTCATATGCACACTTAATATGCGCCGAGTGTTTGAAATTTTAACGTACACTTTCCTCTACATGGATCCAAGAAATCGCTTTTTTTTTTTATAGAAAGAAATCACATTGATCACTTCCACACCTCAATGGTGAATCCAATCATAATTACATGTCATAATAATTTAGATAAAACACTCTTTTAAATGGAAAAATTTCAAAATTCTCCTAGCAGGAAATTTCTGAACTAAGAAAAAAAAATTATAATATCATATTTGTGCATAAATTTTGAACAATATATGACACAATCTAATATGACTATAAGTCTAAAGAAAAATTTATTTCAAAAGATTAGTCTACTGAGAAAATGAGTTTTTAAACTTATAAAACATACTTTTTTTTTTTGTAATTAATATCTCCCCTGAGGTATTGATTGAGAGCAATGAATAGATCCGTCTTAATTGAATTATTACAAATACAAGAGTTAAGATTTAAATTTCTAACCACTTATTTAAATGACAAAAGTTTTTACTACTCATGTCAACTTTAGTTGATACTCATTGGAACAAAACTCTTCTATACGAAACTCATAACATCATCCTCACAGATCATGATTAAACCTATCATAACTGTATCCCTAAATTAAGTCTTCTTGTTTTTTTTTTTAAAAAAAAGAAACTCCCAACATTTTTGAATTTGTAATAATTTAAAATGAATTAAAAAACCATGTGAGAGAATTATCCTTAAAATTATGAATTACAACAATATATATATATATATACTACTCATACAAAATTTGTTTACTTGTCCAAAGATTGTAACATATCATGTCTAGAATATTACCCTTAATTTAGACCCAACAATATTTAAATTCAGATTGATTGTTAGTACCATACATGATATACGTCGGACATAAAACTTTATTCATACACGCTTCTAAATGTATTTCCTTTAGAGATAAAAATCCAAAAATAAAAAATACTCGCAATATAATAAGCATATAATTAATTATCAATATGCTTGATTATTATTCATGAACTTTATTGAGACTGAGCATCTTATTACATAAAAAATAAATGAGTACTCTCAAAATTAGAAGCTTGCGCCTTAGCTTATCTTCTAATTAATTCAATGTAATCATTGCAAATTAAGACTTGGTTGCTTTTCTTCTCCGCAAAGACATTAAAAAAAAACAAAGAAAGATATATTTCGCTATGTGTTCTTCACATCTTTCTCAGAACGAAGAAAGAAACAACATAGTCATCTTTAGAAAAAATACAACATTTTCAGCACATCCAGAAATAAGACTTTGTTTCGCTTCAAATTAAAGACTGATCTAATTATCCTTAAAATTGAAAAGTAGGGTATCGAATATCAATATATAGAACGAATAAAAAAGGTAGAAGATAATAAGAAAAGAAAGTTCACGAGAGCTACATAAAACTATAAAAAAAAATTACTTGAGAATTTCTTGATTTACAACATATATTTATTCAACCCATGATTTTAATATTTAAATTCTATATTTTTTTTCTCGACTAAATGAAGAAGGAGAAGTGGGGGGAAAAAAAGCGACCTATGCCTTCATGAACATCATTTCAAGCTTCTGACTTAGGTTTCCATTTGTTGCTATCTTATTCAATAGCCCAGACAGGTTCTTCCTCTTGCATGACCCTTGAGATCCGTCATCCACAGATGTACTGTTTGACGGTGATAAAGGTTCCAGTGAGCAGTGCCACTTCTTTCCGACGACTACTCTTGCCAGCTCCGGTGGCGGTTGTGATCCAATGAGGTGAGGAAAATTGAGCTTTGCTTTTCTACCTCTCATCTTGAAAGCAGCTCTATCATACGCCAAAGCTGCATCCTCTTCCCTATCATAAGTTCCCAACCAAGTTCTGGCGCCGTTCCTCTTTGGATCCCGGATCTCCGCTGCGAACTTCCCCCATGTCCGCCTCCTCACACCTCTGTAATTCCTCCATCTTGGTGGCGCGTTACATTCACGCGCCTCAGATCCTGCATTGTTAACACTAACCCTATCACCTTGTTTCATAGCGGTGTCATATTCGCCGCCGGAAAACACCGTACCACTGGAGTTATTACTAGCAACCTGCTCTGGTGAAGCATCTGGGTCACAGTTAGGGTTTAAATTTAAAGTAGGGTTGTTGAACATGAAGAAGGTATTCATGAGAGTCATAGAGGAAGGATCATGATCTTCAAGAAGGTATTGATGAACTGAATCTAAAGAAGAAGAAAGATCAGGGATCATTTTTTGGAAGCTAATTAAGTTCTCTGTGATAGTATAGAAGCACACATGAATACTGAAACATGGCTAATTATATATATTATGCATAATGACTTTTGTTTGAAGGGAGGGATTATTAATACATTATTTTATGCTTGCGTGTGTTGTTTCCAGGAAACTTCAATTTTAATTTTAATAATTAAGGCTCTGAAGCATGGCAAATAAAAAACCAAAGAAAAAGTTAATTTGGAATATCATCGCATGTGACTGATTAACTCAAAAAATTGTTATTTAGTTGTGAGTACTAATTAAGTGTATACAAAAGGTTAAATATTACTTGACTTTATCGATATATTGTAATTATATTTATGTGTGTGGTATTATTAATAATTTAACTTCTCTCTGCTCATTTGCTTTTTCTTTTTTTAAATACGGCAGAAGTAATACAAGTCAAATTATTAATATCTTATAAATTATTTAATTGATAAAATTTTCACTATTAAACATAAAATTAGAACTCATTGTAGTAATTTTGAGAAGTTTCTAAAGATATAATCAAAAGTAAATGTCGAAAAAAATTGAAAATACATCAAATATAAAAAAATGGGAATGAAAAACGTTAAATAATAAATTATTTTTTATTTTCAAAATATTTTTTCATAAAATCTCGAAATAATGTAAAATTTACTTATTTTCCAAGTGTGAATAAACCAAGCTTTGATGATCACAATTCACAAGGAATACTGTGACGCCAACTCTTGTTGTAACTTTATTTTTCTTCTATTTCGTTGTGTGAAGTATTATAAATTTATTCTTCAATCCAAAATTGCCTTCAAAACTGAATGATGTAATAATGAATGAACGCATTGCATAATAAAATAGAAAAACGTACAAAGGTGCTATCAAATAAAAAAGAAAAAGTAAAAAAGAAGATTAACCAACGACAGACTCAGCTGTCTAAATAAAATTTGCTAATGATAAAGAATTTCAGCACGTGGTCCCATCCTTTGACCGAGAAAACTTCTAGGAATCTAAAGATTATTGTCTTGAATCAATTATAAATTAAAAAGTAAAAAACGGGGAAAAAAGAAATCCGTTGTGCTTTGTTTGTACGGTCGAGCAAAAGTTTATTGGCAACGAAATATTTGTTTGATGAAACAACAATTTATATTGATCAAAGTAAACTAATTCTACTAATATTTCAGGTTTTTTCTGTAAACTGAAGCAATTGACATTCTTTATCGATAATGTGACTTATAATAATTTGTATGTGTATTAGCTTGAACTACTTAAATTTTAATGAGTTTTCCACTTAAATAATTTTTTTTAAAAAAAATTGATGGATTCTTTCATGTTCAGGCTTTGATATGTTGTCTTTGGATATATATAGTATATTGGATTCATTCATCATTTCATCTTATGCATGTGAGCTCCACTTTCATTTTTTTATTACCAAAATATACTAAACATGACCAATATAAATTAGGATCAATATAAATTAATTGTAAGCATGATCCTTTTTTATGTTATTATTGAATTCAATTAGGATCAATGTAAATTAAAATAGAAAAAGCATGGCCATTGGTTCCTATACTTTTAGCATGTTTTGAATACAGTCGTTAGTTTTTTTCCCCCTCAATTGCTCTAGTCTCTCAAGCTTCATTAACATTGGTTCCTATATTTTAAATATGACTATAAGGATTTAATAGAAGCTATAAATTCCATTACTTCTCTTACTAACTTGATAAAAAATTAGTAGAAGGCAAAATAAGCAAGCAAGGCATCAAAGGCAAAAATTAGTTTGAACATTACTCACTTTATCATAATGTTACCAACTTAGCAACAAAATTAATAGAATTATATACATATTAGTAGATTTAACTAATTCATCAATGATGATGAGTACAAACATTGCATACAGATAAAATATAAGGGACTAGAAACAATGAGAAAAGTTTAAAGAATAATACCAAAACATGCTAAAAGTACAATGACCAACAATTATATTTTTCCATTAAAATATGCAGGAATTATATTCTGTCAAAATTATAAATAGTACGAGGATGACTTATTCCAAATTGAGAAAATGAAATAAAACTCCCTCAAATCTCGAATTATATAAATGACAATATAATATATCAAAATACTATAATTTCACTGAAGTCCCTAAAAAATTTTGTATCAATAAATTTTAAATTGAAAATATCATTTTACTTTTATTAATGAGTTGTGATTAGAGTTTGTTATTTTGAAAACTTATTTTTAATAATAAAAATTACATTTGATAAGTTATGATTTTTTATTCAACTATTGCTACTCACAAAACAAACATTATTATTCTTAAACAAAAGTTATGAGCGGGGCTTTTTTTTTCAATAACAAAAATTATAATTGATAAGTTATAATTTCTTGTTTAACTCTTATGATTCATAGAATAAAAATTATTATTCTTTAAACAAAAATTATAATCGGGGCTTGTTATTTTCATTAAAGGTAAAATGATCTTTTTATTTTAAAATTTATTGACACAAAAGTCCATAGGAACTTCAGTGAAATTATTACATTTTAAGAGATTAGATTATTATTTATATAATTGGAGAATTTTATTGTCATTTTTCCTTCTAAATTTGTAATAATAGTAATAAATAGAAAAATGAGGAGGTTCATGTGCCAAAAGCCCAAAAGTCATTCTTATTACTACACCAACCATGGCGATGAACACGGTTTAACAATCACTGAAGAAAGAAGTGATTCAATGCTTGACTTCAAAGTTGTACTTAAACATTACTTAAAATAGAAATCAAATAAAAAGCATTAGTTTGTAGACCAATGTGAACTTAATTATTCAAACTCCCACGTAATAGAGAACACAAAAAATTTGTCCAAATGTATCTTTTTTTTTATTTAAATATTGACCAGTTTCAGGAAGCTACATTGAGATTCTCACTAATTTAATTGAGCTTATTCGAATCACATGGGTGCAAAGCATAGTATTTGTTGCACATCTATTATACTTATTTATTTATGTATTTATTTAAATTTTAGTTAGATATTATAATATTTAAGATATCGTTTTGAATAATAAGATATAGTAATAAAATATTCTAAATGCATATAACTTGGAAATCAGATGGCTGAAATCTAAGTTTAGGGATTTATTCAATTTAAATTTAATTAATTACCTTGATGATGTGTTATGAAGAGGGACCACTATAATGAATGAGGTAGCATACAGTATTTTGGGAAAAACCTTGTCTCTTGCACTCTGAGGATTCCTGACTAATAACAGCTATTTTTCAATTGTTACAAGAATTCTATATTGTTTTATTAATACAAAATTTGTCTTGCACTCTTCGGCAATATGTTTTATACACAAAACCCAAACTCAAACTCCAAACTCTTAACAATAATTACTTTTCAAACCAACGCACAAAATAACATATAGTAAAATGTTTATTTATTGGATCGACAAATTAAATAATGATCACTTAAATCAACATTGTTTGGGTTATTCTTGAAAACACAATAGTAGGTCATTATACTAAATAACGAAATAAAACTATAGGGATTAAAAATAAAATTCAATTAAAGTATAGAATACTATTATTATAATTTCCATACATATACTCCCTCATAATCTTACTTCGTGATCAAAAAAATAAATAAGCGTAATGGACATCCATTAAGAGATTTATTAGTAATCCTTCAATGAGATTTTGAATTTAACTTTTTTAATAAAACAATATTAGTCAAGTAGATTTTTTATTTGAAACCTAATTCGCTTTAAATTTGGATTAGTGGATAATATAATATAATATATATATATATATATATATATATATAAGCTTCTGAGGAGGAAGACATACTTGGAAGCAGTCACACAAATATAAAATGCGGGAACGAAGTTATGGGATCGAACTCAGTTTTTAATTCACAGCAAATGCAAGAGAAGGATTTCTTTTCAAGTGGGAAGCATATGAGAGTCTTTTCCATTTCATGTGTGTCAAACCGAAAGCTAGAAAACACCCAGTTCTATATGAGAGTCTTCAACTGATCCCTTACATGAACGCTATTCACGGATGTGGAGGTTACACAAAACCGTTACCTCTAATTAATCAATTGAATAATAGGAATATTTATGTATAAAGGCCCAAAGCATACTATACTTAAGGACCCAGACTCTTTCATATTCACGATAAAGCCCCATTGGCTTATATATTAGGCCAATCCACCAAGGGTGGATAACTCAACAATATACCACCATAAGAGCCAACAAAAATATAACATAAATAAAGAAGCATGGGTGTATATAAAATATAAATGAATCTAATCTCTCCTATCATTAACGGTCACCATAAGAAAAGAATAAGGTAGAATGATAAATAAATCCTTTCATATAATGGAAAAATGACAACTTATTCCCACAAAGTGTGATAATACCTTACAAGTTCGAAGAGACCTAATTGTCATTTAAGTTTTTTATGAAATGATAAAAATATCCCTTAATTAAAAAAAGTAAAGAAAAATGGTAAGAAAAAGTTATAAATGCCTGAACCACTTTAATCATTAAACTAGACTTGTGAATTTTAGAATCAAAATTGTGAATTGAAAAAATTTCATTGCACTTTATTGATTGGAGAAAAATAATGAGAGAAAGTTATAAATGTCTAAACCACTATAGTCATTTACTAAACCAAAATTATGAATTACAGAACCAAAGTTGTGAATGTAAAAAACTTTATTGTACTTTCCTTATTGAAGAAAAATGATGACAGTTATTAATGTTTAAACCAATATATATATAGTCATTAGCTCAACTAGAGTTGTGGATGTCAAAATGCCAGTCATGAACAAAAAAACTTTGTTGTGATTTTTTAAATTAAGGAATATTTTTGTTATTTCATCAAAAACTTTAGTGGCAATTAAGTCTCTTGAAACTTAGAATATATTATCATATTTCATGAAACCAAATTGTTGTTTCGGGATTTATTTTCATTTTCTCAAATAATAATATGCTTCACCCGAAAAAAAGAAGATTAATATGCTCTTATTTGAAAATCGAGTCAGCGTCATATATAGCCATAATAAGTATTCTAAAACATTATTTGAAAATCGAGTCAGCTCATGCATGTAAATTGTGCTTGTTTTATTTTTATTGTTGTTGTTGTTGTTGTTATTTTATTGAAGAATTATAGTAAAGTCTTTGGATGTATAATTTATTTATTTACCTCACCAAAAAAATTAATTTATTTATTCCAATTCATCACTACAAAAACATTGACTTTGGATGTATGTCACCGCTGAAACTTATAACATAATTTTTTTAAAAAAATTATAAAAATGTTTACAATCAGCGGTGACACTAACAAGTCGTCGCTGATTTTTCAACTTTCAGCAGCGACTAGTATGTCGCTGCTGAAACCTAAAACACAATTTTTTTAAAAAAAGGTATAAAAATGTTGACAATCAACAACAATACTAAAAAGTCACCACTGATTCTCAACTTTCAGTGGTGACATGCAAGTCTTCACTGAAACGTACAACATAATTTTTTAAAAAAATTATAAAAATGTTGACAATCAGCGATGACACTAAAAAGTCACTACTGATTCTCAACTTTCAGTGACGAATTGCATGCGTTGCTGAAACCTAAAACATAATTTTTAAAAAAAATTATAACAATGTTGACAATCAGTGCCGACACTAAAAAGTCACCGCTGATTCTCAACTTTTAGCGGCGACTAGTATGTCACCATTGAAACTTACAACATAATTTTTTAAAAAAAATTATAACATATTTTAAAATATGTTGACAATCAGCGGCGACACTAAAATGTCGCTGCTGATTCTCAACTTTTAGTGGCGACAGTAGACATCACCACTGAAAGTGTAACATTCTACGATGACATGCACTTGTCGCTGTTGAAAGTCTGACAATCAGCAGCAACTCTATCTTGTCATCGCAGAAAGTCACACTTTTAATGGCAACTTTTATTGTCATCGCTGAAAGTTAAAAATCAACGACAACTTTTTAGTGTCGCCACTAAAAGTTATTTTTTTGTAGTGCATATGCTTGTAGAACTTACAAATCAATGTTCTATCAACCAAAAGTGCTTGGCCAAAAAAAAAACTAAATGTGTTTTCCTCAACATTATTTAATCTATTATAACATGTTATTCATCAATACAGTAAAGCATAATGATATGAATAATACTATAGATAAATAGTTGTTTAAGATTTTAAGGGCTTGTTTGGTACGTAGCACTGGAAGGTAAGGATTGGGATTGAGTCAGAGTAATCCCACCTTCTACATATTTGGTATGAGTAGTTCACCAGCATTTGGGATTGCTCAGTCCTACTTAAGTAGGAATACTAAAACCCACTACCCCCCATGGTATTATTCTGTCCCACTAAAATTAATCTTGGGATTGAAATTTTCCTTACCAAAATACCCTCCTAAAAAGTAGAAATCTCATACTCCCTTTTCCTTCACAACTCGAGCAAGTTCACCATGGATGACCTCCTCCATTGCCGACAACGACATCCTCCATTGTCAACGGTGACTTCCGCCCTTACCCACGATGACTTGGACAGAAGCAATAGTTAACAAGCAGCAAATCTGGGTTCAAGTCGAAGACGAAAGCAGATTTGGGTTTCAAAATTTACGATGAAGATGATGAAGATGCGATTTCAGATTTTGTCAATTTCTGATCATATCTTCTTTGCCTTTCTTTCTCCTTCTTTATCTTCCACCTCCTTCTCACCCGCCGCCTTCTTCTCTAACTCCGCCACATTCACTGTCGAGAAGTTCCAGATCCAAAGCGCAAAGCTCGTCCCCTAAACTATGCACTGTTCATCTTCATGACTATTTTTTTATTAATAATAAGGGGCATTATGGTATTTTGCTCATTTATAATGAATTTAAAAATTTAATGTAAGTATTCCCTATAAATATTACTTTATACCAAATATATTATTAAAGTCTCAACCCCAATCCCAATCCCAACTTCAACCCCAACTCCAACCCCAATCCCTTAAAATTCATATATGCGTACCAAACAAGGCTAAAGTATCATTGGTAGGTCCTAGGTTCTTACTTTCTTTTTGCGTGTTTAGCTTTTTCGAGAAATTATTAAGAACACATATAAGATAACAAATTTTATAAAAAAGAATTAAGGTATTTCAAATAAATTAAGATTAAGTGAATTAAGGTTATATTCTTAACTCAATTGAAAGATCTTAGTTCTTTTTTTCCAAATAACCTTACGTGATGATCCTTCTTACCTATTTTCCCTTTTTTTACAAAAAAAAAGAATTAAATCTATATTTTTAAAATTTAGTTTTTTAGATTGATATTTTTTTATTGGAAGCATGAATCCTCTCAATCAAAAGTAATTATGTTTAAGACACTGTTGAACACTAAACGTAAGCAACTTTTTTTAGTAGGAATTCGTTTTATATTGTTATTTTATAAAATGATATCAACATATTTTTTATTTATTTAGTTTTTATGAAGGAAAAAAAAATATTTCTCCCAACTTAAGCCCCCTACTATTTATTAGAATATTATAGATTATAGAAATATTCATCTTCTTTTACACTTCCTTCAAAACTAGCACATGACAATGAACAAGCACGAAACTGGATAATAGTACTTTAAATGAATGATATAGTTTGTAATTTTACTGTCATCAGAATCTGATATGACTTCTATTTGTTGCTAACTTGTTCAATAGACCTGCCAGGCTTTTCTTCTTACTTGATCCTTGAGATCCATCATCCTCAGCCGTACAGTTAGACGGCGACGAAGGTTCCCGCGAGCTGCGCTGCTTCTCTCCAATGACTACTCTTGCCGGCACCGGCGGCGACTCCGATCCAATAAGGTGTGGGAAATTGAGCTTGGCTTTTCTGCCATGCATCTTGAAAGCAGCTCTATCATAAGCCAAAGCTGCGTCCTCCTCGCTCTCATAGGTTCCGAGCCATGTCCTTGCGCCGTTCCTCTTCGGGTCCCGGATCTCCGCTGCGAACTTACCCCATGGCCGCCGCCTCACGCCTCGGTAATTCCTCAATCGAGGCGGCGCGTTCTTTTCACATGCGACAGATCCTGTGTTATTACCGGTAACCTTATCATCATCATAACCACCTGAATTCATACCGTCGTCATTATTCCCGCCCGAAAATGACATACCACCGGAGTCACTAACACCCTCCTCCGGCAAAGCAGCGTCGTAGTTCAGATTCCTCCATGTAGGTGGCGCGTTCTCCTCACGCGCCACAGATCCTGCATCATTTCCATTAACCCAATTATCAACATCTAGTTTCACAGTGTGGTCATTCTGACCGGAAAACACCGTACCAGTAGAGCTACTAGCACCATGATCCAGCGAAGCCGTGTAGCAGTTCAAGTTGGAAGTAGGGTTGCCGGCCGCCGCGAAGAAGCCATTATTCATGAGAGTCGTGGAGGAATAAGGATCATCTTCAATCAGGTGATGTTGAACTGATTCAAAAGGAGAACGATTAGGGATCATTTTGAGAAGCACGCAAGTTTGATGAGGGCACAGAAGCAATGGATCTGTGAAGGATGACTTATATACATACATACATACATACATGTGTGTTGTTGGCTTGTGTTCAAAGCGATGATGATGTTACTTAATTATTGTTTTTGTTGTTTCCTGGAAACTTCAACTGTGTTACTCCTTTGTCATCTAGATATTTTTAATTAAATTATATAAATTAATAAAAATTAATTATCTAATTAAAAATACAGTAATATTTTAATTTTATCCTTAATTATTGTAAATAAAAAATAAATTTTTTTCCAAATAAATTAATAAAAGTATTTATCTTTTTTATTTTTAATTTAATAAGGATATAATGATCCATTTATTAAAAAATATACTTACAATTTTTTATATTTAAGGATAAAAAAAGTTTTAAAAGATATTTTATATATAGGGATGTTGGGAGTAATTTAGAGTGCCTGTGATCGCGCGTGTGATTGGTTCATTGCTTTAGTTTGCCGTGTAATGAGCACCACGACAGAAGCAACACTAGTGAAAGATGAAAAGCCTAATTATTCGAAGATTAAACAAAACCTCAAAGCTCTCAACTGATATTCGCCTGTGCCAAATTATAAAAGACTTTTAAATAAAATTACATATATTAATAAAGTTTATTAAATATATTTTATAACTTTATATTTTTTTAAAAAAATAAATTTTTAGAAATGATTTCTATTTAATACTTCATTTATAAAAGAATATTAAAAAGAGATAATATAATGGGAAGGATAATATTAAAAAAAATATCATTAAAAATTTTATTTTTATCAAAGTATTATATTTTAAAACATTTAATTTTTACAAAAAATATCTTATAATTTGATATGAAATGAGTATGATTCATATTATACTATAGTCAACCACAAACTATTCCAATAACATTACAAAAAATGACAGCATGCTAGGACACATTTTTCTTAAACCTTGGTTAATCTAATAATTTAATGAAAAAGTAATTTTTTTTTTTTTTGTTCTGGCTCAATTGAAGACACGGTTGGCTAGGACACGTTTGTGTCAGAAATCCTACCATTGTTTCTGACATAAATATGGCTTAGAGCCACAGTTTTCAAAAATCATGGCTGTTCATTCTCGAGTTATTTATAGCCCCTCTTCTCATGAAATTTTCACATTCGAGCGCAGTGCATTTCCAGATACACATTCATGCTTCATATCTTTTTTTTTCTTGTTTATTTTATGTATGTTTTTATATTTATTATATTTTATTATATATTATTATATATTTTCAGGGAGTTAAAAAAATTCTTTAAGTCATTATAAATTTGACATTTCGCTACTTGCTTGAGGTAATTTATTTTTTGTTTTATATTATATTTTTTTAATTATATAAAATCTTATGCATGACATTTATTAGTTTATTTTTAATCTACATTTGATATCTATAAATTGGATAAATTAAATCTTATGAATGAAATATGACATGAATTTATGTAGTAGTATTTTATTAGGTTTACATTTTTATTTTCTATATAGAATGATTTAAATGTTACATTAATGTTTAAATTAAATTTACTTGATGTGCTTAAATTTATTATCTGCATGTTGAGATTTTTATTTACGTTATTTATATTTATTTCAATAATAAAAAGTATGTCAAATTTTTATATTTAAATATAATTATTTTTTATTTTATACAGAAAATGGATAAATCTTGGATATCTAAACTTCACAACACAATAGAATATATAAATAGTTTGGAAGGATTTTTAAATTTTGCTTTTGCAAATAATGGTGTTGAGGGTAAAATAATTTGTCCTTGTCCTAAGTGTAACTTTATAAAATGGAATATTTGAGAGGAGGTTCGAAATCATTTAATTACTAAACCATTCCCTTTCATATATACATGTTGGGTTTTACGTGGTGAAAAACATGAATTCAGAGGAACTTCTTTTGGTGGTCTAATATAGAAAATAGAGAACAAGGGAATGAGGTAAGTGATCATATTCATGAATTAGTTTGTGATGCTTTTGGGGTGCAAGAAGAAAATAAAAATTCAATTCCAATTGAAGATTCATCACAAAATCAAAATCAAAGGATGAATGAAGAGACAAAAGAATTTTTTGGGAAAATCGTGGTTCAGGGGAAAACCGTGGCCTCAATTGAGCTAAAATGAAAAAAAATTATTTTTTTCATTAAATTGTTAGATTAACCCCGATTTAAGAAAAACTATGGCAATAATCCTTTGCTATTGCTTTTTTTTTGGTAGTGTAAATATGCCTATATTTAAAAATAATGATGCCACATCATCCACCATATGTGCATCAACTTGTGACATATTGCCAACAATCTCATGCCTCATCAACTGCCATGTCACCTACCATTTTATGCCCCATCACTCACCACATGTGTGACAACTTATAACATATCATCATCTACCTTGTGCCATTTCACTTGTTCCTTGCTATGTCACATTATGTTTATGGAAAGGCCAAAACTTGAACTATTGACCTCATACCTTTCAATTCTTATGCTTTTCTTCTTCGCCAATTGAATTGAAAAGCATCTGTAATTATTATATGATAAATTAAATGTATATTATTTAATTACATAAATATGTCAAATAATATGTTATAAAAATAAACATATATATATTAAATTTTATTTTCAATTATTAATATGTTAAAAATATTTAAATTTTATTTAAATTATTATTTATATGATATTTTTTAATAAAATATTATTTTATTAATGAAAATGAACTTAAAAAATACTAAATAATTTTATTATGAATATTGTAGTTAATTTTTAAATGACAATAATTAAATATATAATTAAAAAATCATTACCAAAAGTCAAAAATTTTTGTAGTAATTAGCTAGGGATATGATCCCTCACTAAATTTTTTACTAATTATCTTATTTTATAAAAAAATTTGTAGTCTCTCACTATTTTTCTAGCTAATTATATTATTTTAGAGGAACTAATAGTCCCTCGCTATTTTCCTAACTAATTTTAAATCGAGTTACGAATCAACATCTCTTGCTAATTTAATATGTTAGAAAGAAATAGACAATTTTTCACTAAATTTCTTTGCTAATTTGCATTTTTTTAGTAGTGACTTTCAAAAATGTCTTTCATTTAATACTCTATTTATGAAAGAATATATAAGAGAGATAATATAATATGAAAGGTAATATTGAAAATATCATTAAGAAAATCTTATTTTTAGTAAAGCGTCTTATATTTTAAAATGTTCAATCTCCAACAAAAATTTCTTATAATTTGAAATGAAATGAGTATGATTCATAATAAAAACACAGTGTTTTATATTATAGTCAACCACAACTATTCCAGTAACAATGCCACTCCCCTTCCCCCACCCACCAACCCCGAAAAAGAAGACGTCTCAAATTCTATTTGATTATTGTATACGCATTTATTAAATTTGATTGTATATGGGAAAAAAAAAAAGATATGATTTTTTGGAGAACTACTCTAGAATGCTTGAGCGCAGTTAATCTCAACTGTTTATTTTTGGTAGAGATTAGAAATAAATCTTTTTATCGACTGTCTCTAAAGTTACCATTTAGTAATTAATATTCTTATTATGTTTTTTTAAAATCATGAATATTATTTTTTATTTTAAAATTATTTTTATTTCACTTTGAAATGTTGAAGTATTAAATGAATCCCATTTTTTGTGTCGGTTTAATAGTTTCGAATAATGTCACGTGTTAACGGACAAACACAAGAATATTTAGCTTCCCAATATCCCGCCAGGGTGTGTTTCAATCACTGTTTTGAAAACCGGGCCGGTCGGACCGGTCGGACCATCGACCGGTCTGGTTTCCGGTCTGGTTCAAAGAAAAAAACCATTTTAAGAGTTGAGCCGGTTTGAGCTGTTTCGAACTGGCAGTCAGATCGGAAATCGGATTCGGTTTTCAAAAATCAGATTGCTCAAAAAAAAACTTTTTTATTTTTTATCAAAATTTTTAAAAAAATGATTAATTTTTTTAATCATTTAATATTATATTGTATCATATTGCTTGTTAAATCGCGACAAACTTAAAATATTTAATTTTTTTAAGTTAAATAGCAATTTCATATGTATTTTTTATATTTAAATTATTATATACATATATAATTTTTTTAATTTAATTATTAAGTCAATTGGTCCAACCGGTTGAACCGTGCGAACCGTGAACCGCTGACTTTTCCGGTTCAATGTCCAGTCCGGTTTTGAAAACATCTCATAAAATTTGAACTATCCAATTTAAAAATTTATTTTATTTTTATTTTTATTAAAATTATAAAAATGGTAATAAATTTTGTTTTATTATCAATATGAATAATGCAGATTTAATCTAAATAATTTAATTTAATATTATATATATCAAAATAAAAATTTATAAAAATTTGCAAAAAATTATTATTAAATTTAGATTGTTTAGACTATAGAGTGAATTTAGATAATTAATTTAAGAAATTCTACAATTTGTAATATTTAATTCAACCATTCAAATTAAATTGGTAATAAAATAAATTTATTAAAAAATTTTGAAATTTCATTTTAAAAATGATAATAAATTTTGTTTTATTATCAACATGAATAATACAGATTTAATCTAAATAATTTAATTTAATATTATATTATATATATCAAAATAAAAATTTATAAAAATTTGCAAAAAATATTATTAAATTTAGATTGTTTAGAGTGAATTTAGATAACTAATTTAAGAAAATCTACAATTTGTAATATTTAATTCAACCATTCAAATTAAATTGTTGATAAAATAAATTAATTAAAAAATTTTAAAATTCTATTTTAATAAATATAAATAAAAGAACCTTTAAATCCTTGAAGTTTTACCTTTAAATCCTTGAAGTTTTAATTTAGAGGTCCCAAACTTTGACAAACGTTTAGATTGTTCACATGATGCTCCGCAGCCCCAAACGACATTTTCTAATTTCAATGAATTTTACCACGTGGTCAAAATCTTCACCGTAGCTTCTCGAAACCTACGTGTCAGCAAACAGTGTTTTA